CCCCAAAACCCCAAAACCCCAAAACCCCTTAATCTAACTCCAGGATTGAACAGAGACAAATGGCTTTTTATGCTTTCGAAATGTAGCTTTGGGCAGTGAGATCAAGTATGGTTTGATTATTTCTTTTCTCTTCTTCTTTATCATCGTAATCACTAAAGGTTAAGCAGATAATACCTGATTTGAGGATGCCCAGGATATTTTTTGAAACTTTTGGGCTGAATTCCTCTTTCTAGAATTAAACTAGGACTTACCTGCTCTTTTAGAAGTATGATAGTTCTTGAGAATATCATTTTGGCTTATAATTTTAGTTCCTTTTGCTTGCTGAGTTACTGTAGGAGTTATTCAAAATGTTACGATTATGTTCTAGCTCATCAGGGATATTTAGAGGGAGCACAGATTGGTCACTGATGATTCTCTTCCTTTGTCGCTCAATTCCTTGGTGGAAGTATTTGTCCTTTTCAGGCCAAACCTGTTTGTCCTTCCTTAGGATGTTGAAAGTTGTTGTTCCTTTGAGTTTTAGATAAATGTGGAAGCCGAATAGCAGAGTCAGAAGCAGGGTTTTCACTGTTTTTAGCAAGAGAAATAGTGAGAGGTAAATTCTTAGAGTTAATAACTCCCTTGCGTACGATATTCGAGTAATTCTGGCCAAGCATGTACTGTACGCAACTATAATGAAGTACCCTGATACTGATACCAAAGCAACTAAGATAAAGAAATGAGTGTAGTTGTTATGACCAATACAGTTGTTCAGCCATTTTCAATGATGATCAAATCCTTTGGTTCATCTATTGCAGTCTTTTCAATGTTTTGTAGTTCCTCCAACATATGCTTCACAGTAGAGTCACTGGAATTCCATTCCATCCGGAAATGGACCACTAGAATAAGAAATTTAGTACAATTTTGACTCTGAGAATTGTTACATATATAGTTACTATACATATAGTCATCGACAGAGCCTACCCTGTTATTTTGTTGTAATTGAAAGAAGATCTGTTGGATTTTTCTTCATTGTCACCAATATCAGACCAAATATTGTCAAATAAGCAACAGAAATTAATAATATTACAAAAATGCCCATTCCAATTCCAAAGTCAGAGATTGCGTAAGGTCAAAATACAGCTATGAATGTGCAGATCTCTAACAATCAGAAGAAAAATGTGACAAATACATGCCCTGAATATGGTGAGCTGAAGCCATTATTTCTTTTTTTCCTGATGATTTTTCCTAAAATATACACAAAAATTACTCTTGATTTCTCCATCGATTGAAAGAGGGTTGAAGCTATCACTAGAATCAGAAATGCTCTTATTTTGACTTGCTTTTGCTAGATATCTTATTTGAGCTTTGGCTAGGCTGGTCAATGTACTTGTTGCTGGCTTCAATGCTCTTATATATGTCCAAATCATACTATAGTTGTGACTTACGTTACTGTTTCTTGTACGTTTTTGATCCAGTTCCTTTGAAATTTTGCCCATGATTCCATTAAGTCTGCTCTTGTGCTTATTTCGGATCTAGATGATTTACCCTGAAAATTTGGGTCAAAGATGTAACTTACTGTAAGTACTGCGTAATTTGTTACCTAAATTATACTGCTCAAGCTCAAGCACCTGGGATGCGTCGATTCGACTGGTCTCATTCCGGTTCAGAGGAGGAAGAGTTATCTTCTTTCTGTGCTGATGAGCTGTATTTGTGCTAAAGGTTTCATCAGAATTGAGAGATTAGAGAAATAATCTCTAGATTTTGCTATAGTAAACTCAACCCCTCATGCTTCCTCACCGCTTGTATTTCATTTGAAATGGATTTCTTTTTATTTAATATTATTCTAAAGATCTCGGGGTTTTGGGGTTTTGGGGTTTTGGGGTTTTGGGGTTTTGGGGTTTTGGGG